GCAAAGAGAGTTGGCCAAGGTGTTGGAGGGACCTGCAATGGCAGATCAGGGGCAGGAGTACACTGAGCCCCTCGAGTCTAGATTTCCTGCACCAGTGAATTAAGGCCAGTGAAATCTGTCCGGTGCTCCTCATCGCTTCCTGAGCAGATCAAGTGGGACAAGGGCCTCAGGGTGCTTCCGGAAATGGAAGACACAGTATTTGTGTGGACAGAGTGGTTGAAGCCTCGCTATGATTCACCCGGACCTCCAAGGAGGTCACAGCTGGCCTCTTTGATGGCCGCATTCCATGGGGAGGGGGTTCAGGACACGCCACCTCAAATATGGCACCTTCGTATATTGAATATTTTAAGCAGATGGAATTTGAGAAATGGCAGGCGCAGGAAGGACTCTGACCTTTCCCTGAAGCAGGTCACAAGACCTTCACGTGAGAGGTTCCCTCTCTGTAGCTGGAGGAAGGAAGCATCTTCACTTCTGAGGGATCTGAACAAACCACCCTGCTGAGTGTCCCCAGCTTACTGCCCTTAGCTCAGACCCTTCTATCTGAGGTAGGACTCCCCAACCTTCATCCAACGCAGCAAAAAACACTCAGCTCAAACCACTTCTGTGGGTCTTCATTTCCTTATAAAATCTCCCGTGTCACCTAAAACGTATACGAACTAGACCTGTATCCTTTTGTCTTGTGAATTCGTCTTTTGCTACAGGGGCCCCAGCCAAGAACCTAGAAGGGTGGAATGAAGAGTAGACCTTGAAACAAGGATTTGGGAGCAAGGGGTTTATGTGAGAAGGGATCCCAGGAAGCTGGTAGAATGAGCTAGAAGGGAAGGAAGCCAACACGGTTGCATTCTCAAGGTTATTCTAGGGGGCACTGAGAAACTCCGGGAGAGATTAGACAGCATTCTTCTCAGAGTGTCTCAATGTCCCTCCTTCTTATCCCATTTTCTGATTTTACCCATTAGGAAACACCCCCAAGGGGCCAAGGAGCATACCCAGAACTGCCCACTCATTTTGCACATTTCATTATGCACCCGCTGTGTGCCAGGCCCTGGGCTGAGAGCTGGGCATGCGAGGTGAAGGAGGAGCAGGTACTTTGTTCTCCTGAGCATGCATCTGAACCGTCCCCCTCGAGGGACGAGGAGGCTGGGTATGCATCCAATAAACAGTCATTGGTCAAGGCTGCTTCCGGGTGGTGTCAACTCCCCAGCACTTCTCACCTGCCTCACGTGCAGGCTGAGTAGGCTCCAGTGACCTGAAAAAGCCCTGGGTAAGCATCAAGGATGCTGGCACTGCCAGGAAGAGCGAGGGGTAAGAGGATGTGGGCATGGCGGAATAACCGTTGGCCGCATCTGCCTCCTCCCTTTCACAGAGGGCTCCTTCCTGCCCTCAGGTCTCCACCCAAGTGCCACCTTCCTCGGAGGCCCTGCCTGACCCCCATCTAAATGGCACCCAGCATCTCATTCCTTCTCGGCACTGCACCCCACCTGCCCCTTCATTGCATGCCCACAGTTTAGAATCACTTCTTTGCAGAATGTGGAATGATGTATTCATCTACATTTTGCCGTGTCTCCCCCACTAGATTGCAAAGCCGTGCTTTTCTCATTCCCCCCTGTATCCCTGGGCACCTTCCACCAAGCCAGGGTCTAGTAGGTGCTCAACTAAATAGCCTTGGAGGGAATACATTCTTGTCAATTCCAACCTGGGAGTTCTGGGCTCTGGGGCTAAGACCTAGAAAGGCATTTGATAGATGGGCCTCTGGGATGCTCAGAGAGGCAATGATCTGTCCAAGGTCATACAACTGGGGATACACACCTGCACCCCTGGGGGCAGAAGTCCTGATGATCCACCCGACTTCCATCCCTCCAGGGCCCCCTCAGTGGGACAAAAAGCACCAGGAGCCCCTGGGGCTCCTCTAGGCTACCCGGGAAACTGCTCTCAGCCAATTCTTGGTAATCTTCTCAGCCTCATTCTCTCCCCACTTTCCCCAGCAGAAGAGGAACCGACTCAGACAGCTGCGGAGCTGGGACTCTCTCTTGTTGAGATGCATTAATTTGTAAATATCTTCATTTATATGTAAATGCGGAGTCCCGCACCTGCCCCCAGCCCTGACGGGGCTCTGCAGCCTAGAAAGGCAGTGGCCCCCAGCATGGCTGGCTGGGAGGGCCTGACAATCCTCCGTGATCCTCTTAGGCTCCAGAGGGTCTGCTCCTTCCTTCCCTCGCCCTTGGTAATCAACAAACAGGACGGCTCAGCTCCCTGGGGTGCTCTCTGCTTGGGAGACCACCCCTGTCACCAAGGTTCAGGGAGAAGGTGGGGGAGACTGGTTCCCATGTAGGAAAGGAAAGAGCACTGGCTCCTAAGATCAGGCTTAAGTCAGTGCCACTGTGTGACCTCAGGCAAGTCTCATTCCCTCTCTGGGCCTCGGCTTCCACAACTGAAAAACAAGGGATCTGGTCAAGTTCATGTCATTCCAGAGGGAGACTGTTGGGCCTTGCTGAACTTCGACCTCTTCCGCAGTAAGAACAGGGCTAGAGAAAATGATTAATAATAGTAACACCTGTCTGCATTCATGGGGTTGTTTGTGCAGATCAGAACAGAAAGGGTGCATAAAAGGAGGCTTTATGAGATTTGTAAAAAGGTGAGCTTTTTTATTTGTCTGTTTGTTTTATGATGGGAGAAGGAGAGATTGTTCTAGGCAATGGCAGCAAACATGTACCACTTAGAGACCGGACACCAGCACTTCACCTGAATGCACCCGTTAGCTCCTCACAAGCTGCAGCTAGCCTCTTAGTGCTGTCATGTTCCTTTGGAGGTCAGGAAACTCAATTGTGGTGTTACCAGCCCCAGATTTAACTAATGCCAGGAGGTGGAAGAGGCAGGATTTGAACTCAGGCTGTTGGACGTAAATTTCACTGAAATTCCACAGCAATTGTACAAAGCCAGTCATGTCAAGCCTGCTTCACAGGCAAAGAACCGGAAGCAGAGAGAGAGAGGTTAAGGCTCTCGTCCCCAGTCATTCAGTAGGCAGAGACTGAGCTGGGATTTGCATCTGGGTCTTCTGGTAGCAGGGCTTGCCCTTGAGGCTCCAGGGAGCAGGAGAGGGTGGGGCTCAAGAATATTCTAGATGGTCCCTGGATTTCTTTCTTAGCTAGAAATCAGAACCAAGGAGTCCTAGAGGCCATGCTGGTGGCAGTAGGTGGCTTGGTGAGGAAGGAATTCTCAGAGACACGGTGACTGGCAGGGGTGGGCTGGGTGGCATTAGGTTTCTGGGAATCGTGGAGATTATTTGGGAGTTCACTTACTACAAAACCATCTGTGGTTTCCAGAATACCTATTTTCTCCAAAATGAGTTTTTATCTCCTTTTTCATCTTGATCATAACTGGTTTGTTTTAGGTGTGCTTTAGTATTTTAAGGAACCATAATTTCTTTTTGGAAGCAGGTTCAGGAGAAATCACAACTAGATGGATGAAGGAGTTTGTGTGACTGTTCACACACCTCTTCACACACCTTCACGTCCACATTGTCAGCATGGTCCTGGCACAGAGCTCGGAGAGGAGGAGGACCAGCCAGGCTGCCTGGGGAGTACACACTCACCTTCCCATTTTCACAAAAGCAGGCAGAGGAGGATGCCTGGGCCAGGTTCTCGGTGCAGGGCTGGACTCACCCTTTACAATCTTCTCGTCCCATTTTCTAATTTTACCCAATAGAAAATAGGCCTGAAGGGCCGAGGAGCGTAGCCTGAGCTGTCCACTCATTTTGCAAATTTCATTATGCACCCACTGTGTGCCGGGCCCTGGGCTGAGAGTTGGGGATGCAAAGTGAAGGAGGAGCATGTCCCTTGTCCTCCTGGAGCTCACGGTCACAGAGAGACCCACAGCCCATGCTGGAGAGTAGGGCCTCCCTTTCCTCCAGGCTCAGAGTCTAAAGACAGCACAGTACCAGGCACTAGCTGGGAAATCCACATAGCACGGTGCCACAGTGCACGTCATGTTGGCTTGCTGGCTGCAGTCCCCCTCAGGGTGCCCAATGCAGCACTATCCCCCTCCAGCTTTGGAGCAGACCACTACTTTCAGGCTGGGCACCTGGCAAAGCATTTGGCGGTGTGGCGTGGAAGAGTGTGTATGTGCAAAGCTGTGCACTCTTCCTGAATGCAGTGAGATTCCCTCTGAGGAGGGGTGGGGACTGGGGCAGTTGCAGCCAACCAGCTTTGGGGGATCGGTTCAGCTGAGGTGAGGGGTCCCATGGGTGGAATTGCTTGAGTGGGGTTCTGAAGGCTGATGAGGAGTTTACCAGATGACCAAAGGGAGAAAGGCCCTTTGAGAAGAGGGACCAGCATGTGTTAAGTGTCAAAGGAATAAAACAGGACTAGGCTCTTGTGGGGAGTTTGTGGGAAGGAGGTGGAGCCACACACATAGAAAATAGCAGGCTGTAGGAGATGGAGTCGGCTTGATTCTGCCGCCCCACCTTCTGGAAAAGAGGGATGGAGTAGGAAAATCAAGCATCTCTGACTTGAGCACTGCTTCTCCCCACTCTGCTACTTTTGACCTGGGAGTCCACTTGCTTGGGGTCATTCTCTCTTAAGCTTTGGCCCTTATGGCCTTGGAACCCACAAGAAACAGTAGAACATGTTGTATGAGCTTCCAAGCCAGGCAGAACTGCCTCACCGCCCAGCGGTCTCATTGCTGCCTGTGTGACTTTAGGCCCATTGCTCACCCTCTTTGGGCCTCAGTATCTCAACTGGAAATAAACGGAGTTTGGAAAACCACCTTCCAGGACTGTTGGAGGAGCTGGCAGAGGAGCTGGCCTGGCCCTCTCCTGCCTCTTCCCTCCAGGGGATGTCCCTCCAGGGAATGAGTCCCACTTCCACAAGGGGAGCCCCCGGTTCTGCCTTCCAAGCCCAAGAGCACTAAGCGATTGATGTGAAAGGGCTGGAGAACTGCCCTCTGCTCCACTCTGCACCCCTCCTCCCTTCCCCCGCTGTCCCCCCGCCACCACAGGCCCTCACCTCACAGTGGACTGGTACACCAGGTCCTCTCGCTTGCGGTAGTTCTCCATGTGTGAGTAGTTGGTGGAGAACATGGCGTCAAAGGTGAAGATCTTCTGCTTGATGGTGCCGCCATCCGTCACCTGCCACAGAGCACAGAGATAGCCACCTGTGAGTGCTCAGCCAGCCCTGGTCACCCCTTTCCCCAGGACACTGAGAAGATGCAGGCAGGAAGCTCAGAAGAAGGACAGCCCCCATCCTGAGAATAAGGCAATCACCGAGGGCTTCCTGGAAGCAGTGATGTTTAAGTTGTCTCCTGAAGGAAGAGTAGGAGCCAGCCTGGCAACAGGTGGGAGTTTTCCAGGCAAAGGAAACAGCAAAGGCCCTGCAGCAGAAAAGAGCAGTGTGTGCTCAGGGGAAGCTTGCTGCCTTCGCAGCACCTGGAGCAGAAAGGAAGTGGGATGAGAAGAGGCTGTGAAGAAAAATGTGGGCCAGATCATGAAGAGTCTCCACCGCAAAGGAGCTCAGCTTCTCCTGAAGGCAGTGGTCCCCGGGGCCAGGCTTAGATTTGATTTACAAGCTCCACTGGCTACAGATTGAGGACGAATCGAAAGGGGCAAGACTAGAGGCAGGGAGCCCGGGAGGAGGCCAGGAATCCAACATCTTGGCATGGGTGATGCAGAAGGGGACAGCGTGGGGCAGTTGCCCTCCTCTTGGGCTGGGCCAGGAGGGAGGACGTGAAGTCCCCATTTCACCTAAAAATGCAGAAGTGGGAGAAGGCAGAGAGGTGGTGATGAAGCCAGCGCTGGAAGCCCAAGGCTGCCGGGCTCTCCCGCTGTTCACGGCTGATGGAAAGCGAACCCAAGCGTCCCGTGCCCTCAGCTGCCGCCCACCCGCCTCCCCACATCTGCGCTGCCTCCAGCTAATGAAAGTGTTACTCCACAAAGCAGCAAGGTATGTGTTGTCACTGTTTCAATTATTTATCTGTTTACTCGGCTGCAGTTTTCCGCTTGTCTCAGCAACTCTATTATAGACTGGGAGCTTGCAGCCTCTCGCAGCTCAGCTGGGCTCCACGCTAACAGCCTGCAATGGGGAGGCCTCATGCCTGGGCCTCGAGAAGTGGAATTAGCTCCCTGCGGCTCTGCGTGGTGGAGGCAGCGGGGAGGGGGGCTGGGAGAGGGGTGGCTAGGGACGGGTGTCTCCAAGGGGCTGGGCTGGGGGGATGCTGAAAGCAGCTTCCCCAGGCAAAAAGATGAGGATTGGAGTGTGAATCTGTCCCCCTGCCTGGGAGTACTGGCCCTGGACACAGCTGGGCTCCTCTCAGCACATAGGTACCCAAGCTGACTTGGACCACATCTCTCTGGCCTAGGTGGTGTTGCTACTGGTTTAGGAGAGACTCCATGCATCTGGCCAGCATTGGTTGAGCACCAGCTGTGTGCAGACACAGGCTACATCTGTACCGGTCACTTTCCGTAGACTGCAAGCTTTGTAAAGAGTAAGGTGGCCTCTGTGAGGACCGGGGATGGTTAGAACCATGAGAAGGCTTTCTCAGGCTCTGGAACCCTGAGAGGAAGCGGCAGTGAGATTTCCCAGGGCCACGGCTTCTCCTTACCCCTCCATAATCCCACACCCCTCCTGTCTCTGTCGGGACTTAGCGACATGCACAAGTGTCACTTTCTTCCCTTCTGAGGGCGTGGCGCTTTCTGACCATGTGCAGAGGGGAGACAGAGGACCACTTCCTCTCACCGGCCGCTTCTGCACCACAGGCCCAGCTTCTGAACTGGAACCATGAGAGTGGAGGAAGATGAGGAGGAAGGGGACAGGAGGATTCTCCTCTCCTCTTGGGATCCATGTTTGCACTCACCCCAAGAAAGATGCCCACCCCTAACCAACCACAGCTTGACTCTGCGTCCACTGTCATCACCCAGAAAAATGTCCCTGAGCTGACTGTGTCTGGCTCCGCATGGGGTGGAGAAGAGAGTTGGCTGCACTTGGGATTAGAGCTTCCATCTCCCCACCTCCCGATGTCCCAGCCTGGGGTGGGGGCCAAGACCCTCCAGGTGCTCCTCGTTCTCCATGCACCCCCTTCCCATCCCCGCCTCTCCCGTTTGACTTCTATAGAGCCACCAAAGTACCTTTAAAGCAGGGTCTTTTCACTTGGGGGGGTGATTTTGCTCACCAGGGGACATATGGCAAGCTCAGGAGACATTTTTGGTTGTCACGACTGGGGAGGAGAGGTGTGGTTTGGTACTCTTGTGTAGCCGGTAGAGGCTAGGAAGCTGCTGATGATCTCACAATATCCAGGACCGCCCCCTGCCCACCTCCCGAGAATTATCTGGCCCCCAAATGTCAACAGTGCCCAGGTGGAGAAACCCAGCTTTAAGCCCATTGCATTGTGTGGCCGTACCAGGTCCCTGGGAACAGAGCTGAATAGACAAGAATGTTCCCATGTTGCAGGTAAAGAAACTGAGGCTTGGAGAGACAAAATGAGTCAGCTGAGGCCCCACACTAGGTTCCTGACAAGTGTCTGGCTTCCAGACCAGAGTTCACATCCCATCGCACCAGGCTGGAAGAGGCTGAGAGTGAACTGAATGCCTCTCAACGTTCCTTTCCACCCCTGGTGGCCGGGCTCATTAGGAGAAAGGATGTCAGAATCTCAGTGGAGGTGTGAGGATTTTTCCTCCCAAAGTCATACAGCGGAAGGCATCCTGCCCGTTTAACTGGCAGCCCGTCTTCTGGCCTTGCCTCTCTTCAGGTACTGCTTTTTTATCTCCTCCTAAAATGCGGCAGCCCTTATCGTCCCAATCTCAAATTTCACTCCATTTTTTTTATTACACAAAAGAGAAAAAAATCTGTCAGTAAAACTGTCTCCTCAAATTTATTCGCCGAGACTGAGGGTTTTATTACTAGGAAAATACACCCGCACCCCACACGTCCACACACACACACACACCCCAGATAAAGCGCTGAAGAATTATCCGAGTCGTAAATCGCTGTTTCAGGCCAAGGGACAGGGGAGTTTCAAGGACGAGCCTAGTTTTCCTTTGGTTTTATTTACATCTGTTTCTCTGGGGCTGTGTCTGGCGCCTCACTGTCAGCCGGAGGAGTAAATAACTGCTTCTGTGAAACCTGCTTCAGGCAGCTGGAGACAAGTGCTTATCTCCGCTGCAGCGTGAGGGATCTGGAGGGCAGGCCCCACTGTCCCAGCTTTCTGTGGTACACACTCCCTCCTCCCTCAGCCTCCCGGAAGGTAAAGGAAATGGGAGACTCAGATACGCTCAGGTCCCAGGCCAGCGGGCGAGCAGCTATTTGCAAGGATGTTATTCTGTGGTTCTTGGTGGTTAGAGGGCCCAAGAAAGAGGCCAGGTGGGAGTGGGGGATTAGTACATGCTGTGGACAGAAGGTGTGGTGGGTGTGCTGGAAGATACCTCGCCTTTAATTCTAGAAACATTTCTCCACACCTGAGACATACAAGGGCAGTTGCAGCCTCACGGCAGAGAAGGAAATACATTTCAGACACGGTCGCAGTCCATTATGACCTTATTCACAAGAGGTACACAGTCCACAATTAGCTGAGGTTCCAGAGTCAGTAAGATAATGGCTGCAGCAGCAACAGGTTAATTACCAAGTGTTATCCAGTGATGTTTTGATGCTTCTGAAGGAGCCAAGAATCCCCTTGGAGGGAGGGGTGATCATGGAAAGCTTCCTGGAGGAAGTAGGCTTTTTTCGGGGAGTGCTCGGTCCTAGGCTGACTCTTTCTGCCTATGGGAGGCTTTGGAGCATGAAGCAAGGCTGATTTCCTCCATCCCCAGTTGAATGTTTGATTTTGGTTCCTAATTTTGTGCTCTTGAAGAAGTCATTTCACCTCCCCTACTCTTAGTGTCCTCATCTGAGAAATGGGGATAAGGCAACACTCCTCCCTGTGAGGATTACATGAACCTAGTAGAGTTCCTGGTGGGTGGGAAGTGCTCACTCATGGGGTATTTTCACGAGCACTCACGCTTTTCTGGACCATCTCTTTTTCTGTGTCCCTCCCCACCCTCCGGACCTCTTTCTGTCTATGGGGCTGGAGAGCAAACTGTCTCTTGCTAAAATGCCAGAGGATGTGAAATTCAGTAAATGAAAGAAGGGAGCCCACACCCAGATAGGGAGGCAGGTGGGAGGTGCCAGAAGGCTGGCTTGTGTCAATAAGGAGTGGGGTGCAGAGAGCAGGGACCGAAAATTTGCTAGTAGTCATCATAGCAGCTTCAAAACAGAGTGCAGGGATGCCCTGAGTGAGTACCTGGAGGCAGGCAGGTCTCATGGGCTCTGAGAGGCTCCCATGGTGCCAGTGGGCAGGGACCACCAGGTCAGGGCAGACCAACAACCGCAGAGCTGACAGGGCAGACAAGGTAGGCCAAGCCCTGAGGATGTGTGGGTTTGCCTGGCCCCAGAGCGAGAGGCACTTCTGAAATGAATCATTTCATTCACTCCATATTCAACAGACTTTTGTTGAACAAACAAACAGGTCCTTGAATATGAGCTACTCCTAGAACATAAACTCTATGAGGATGGGTGTTTTTGTTTTTGTTTTGGTTTGAGATGGAGTCTTGCTCTGTCACCCAGGCTGGAGTATAGTGGCACGATCTTGGCTCACTGCAAGCTCCGTCTCCCAGGTTCATGCCATTCTCCTGCCTTAGACTCCCAAGTAACTGGGACTACAGGCACCTGCCATCACACCCGGCTAATTTTTTTTGTATTTTTAGTAGAGACGGGGTTTCACCGTGTTAGCCAAGATAGTCATGATCTCCTGACCTCGTGATTGCCCACCTCGGCCTCCCAAAGTGCTGGTATTATAGGTGTGAGCCACTGTGCCTGGCCGAATATGGGGTATTTATCTGTCCTGTTCATTGCTTTGTTTCCAGAGTTTAGCAAATGGCACTTGCTCAATAAATATCTGCTGAAGGAATCAATGAGTGAATGAATGAGTTGAGACCTTGCCATGTGCCAGGCACTGGGAATACCATGAAGAAAAGGGAAAAGGCCCTTGCTGCTCTGCGATAGGCTGGCCCCAGGACAGCCTGCTGTGCCTGGACCCTGATCTGTCTGGGACTCCCTGGTAAGAGTAGTCTGGCCCAGGTGGGACAGTGGCCTCAGACCACCC